ACAAACGATTTCAATAAATATAAAAAATCTAATAACTCAATTTACAAAAACTTCTACATTAAAAGGACAAAAGCACAAGGCAATAAGGGACCAAATAATAATCAAAGAATCTTTAAAAATTTGAAGTTTCTACTTTATAAGTCTATTGGTATCTAGCAAACTCAACAACCCATGCAATGAACTACATCATAGAATGCAACAAATATTACAAGGATAATATGACAAGTAAAGTATATGACAATCAAGGTATGCAAGTAAAACAATTAAAGACAAATAGCAAAAAGCATGAAATAGTGGGAGGGACGAACATTTTGATACAAGAATAATTAAACGACAAACAAAATTTACGACGTAGAAGTCAAATAAAGCATGTAGCAACTAAGGCATGGAATAAGATGTATTGTGAAATAACGAGAAACATGAAAAACAAATATCTTAACTGCATATATACACTTGATACCTTGCATATAAGGTGTTTTCTCAATTAATCCACATAACAAATCATTCAAAAATTCCTAATTCCCTCGAGTGAAGGTTAGATCCAACACTTATCTTACTCCGTAATCAAATCAAAGCTCAATCGGGCCTTTCCTCTAAATTCATATCCAAACCAATCGAATCTAACCAAATATAGTTCAAACAATTCAAAATAAGCTTTAGAAACTACCTACAAGTGAAAAAAATTCAATCTTTAATGATTTAGGAAAAAGTCAAGAAAAGTCAACTTAGGGCCTGCTTGGTTAAAACCCGAGATTCAAACCGAAATTCGATTATTCATTCACCCCCGAGTCCGGTTATGTGATTAGTTTTGAAATTTGACCTCAATTTGAGGTCTAAATCTCAATTTCTCAAAATTTTCAATTTCTACCTAAATCTCTAATTTCTACCATGAAAAATATAGATTAAAGATTCAAAATTAATGGGTGTTGATAAAAATAAAAGAAAACAAGTTAAAATCTACTAACCTATGGAGTTGGGATGAAATTTTCCTTCAAAATCGCCTCTAGGCCGAGCTCAAACTTGAAAATGGTAAAAAATGGGTTAAATTCCAAATTTTAAAAGTTTTAAAGATTGAGAGTGTTCTTCAAGTTCGCGAAGCACCTGATGCATTTGCGAAGAGCGCTGGCCAAATGTCCATCGCGTTCGCGATCAGCCCTTTGCGTTCGTGAAGGCTTAGTCCCCTTGCCTTCTCGTTCGCATAGAGTTACTGACCAACTCCCTTCTCAAGCCCCATAACCTTTGCGTTCGTGAAGGGTAAACCCCCCATGCTTTGCATTCGCGACTGCTTACTTGCGTTTGCATAGGAGAAAACCCACCCTAGCCCCAGTTACCCTTCGCGATTGCTAAGAACAAAACACTAGACACCAGATAGCAACATACCAGCTGATCTCTTAGAATAAAAATGACCGGTAACCTATCCAAAACTCACCCTGATCCCTCGGACTCTAAATCAAACATACAAAAAAGTGTAGTAATATCAGAACGCACTCGCATGATCAAAATACCAAAATAACACTTAAAAATATGAATTGGACATCAAAATGTATGAGATTTTCAATAAAACTTAAGAACTTTCAAATTTATAACCGGACGTCTGAATCACGTCAAATCAACTCTATTTTGCACCAAGTTTTGTAGACAAGTCATAAATAATAAAATGAACGTGTATCCCATAATCGAAATCTGAACTCGGTAGCTATAAAGTCAACCTACGGTAAAACTTAGAAATTCTTAAAACCTTCAAATCACTAGCTTTCAACAAATCACGTTAAATCAAATTAGGGACTTCCAAATCAATTTCGGACATATGCCAAAGTCCCAAAATCACGATACGGATCCACCAGGACCGTCAAAATACTTATCTGAGTTCATTTACATAAAATATTAACCGTAGTCAACTCAAATCATTTTTAAGACAAAAAATCACATTTTCTTCAATTTTTCACATAATTTTTTTTTTTTTGAAAAAAGACACGGACTATGCGCGCACATCAAAAATAACTAAATGGAGCTAATCGAGGTTTCAGAACACGAAAATAAAGGTTAAAGCTCAAAACGACCTGTCGGGATTGTTAGAACATGCGCAACAGAAGCAAGCATACTATCTAGGCATCAAATAGTAGTAGTAGTAATTAACTTCGCTAGAAGATTATACTTTATATTATAAGAGTTGAATCCCCTTGATTCAATACCTATTCCCGCCCCAGTTGGTTCAATATACAAGCTGTAGAATTTTACTGTATATATAAGCTGTAGAATTTTCGCCATATTAATTACACCTAATTACATGATATTTTCAATAAAAGAAATGTACACAGTTTTAACTCTTTTTTTTTCTTTCTTTTTTGTGTGTTTTCAGGATGTGAAGAGGCATGCAATAAGAGATGCTCAGCAACTTCTCACAAAAAACCATATCTGTTTTACTGCAACCATTATTGTGAATGTTGCCAATGGGTTCCACCAGGAACTTTTGGGGCATAAGGATTGTTGTTCTTGCTATAATAATTGGAAGACAAAGAGAGGAGGACCTAAGTGTCCGTAAATTCTCAGTGTAAAAAAATTTATTAGTAAAAAGAAAATAATTTTATTTGAAATTTTATGAAAATAATTATTTGTGCTTATATTAGGTAAATTGTCTACATCATACCCTAGGGTGCTCGGCCCTTTTCCGAACTTTATGTGAATGAGGGATATTTTGTGCACCAGGTTGTCTTTTTAAAAACGGAAAAGGCCTAAAAATGCTACTCAACTTTCAGAAATGGTTTATCCATGCCATCCGTTAAAAAAATGATCATTTCATGCCACCGCCGTTACCACATTTAGCCTATCCATGCCATTATTGACTAACGGCAGTAGCATGGATGGGCCGAATAAAAATTGAGTCGTTAGTCAATAATGGCAATGAATGGGCCAAATGTGTAATGGCATTGGCATGAAATGAGTATTTTTTTTTAACGGATGGCATAGATAGACCATTTCTGAAAGTTGAGTGGCAGTTTTAGGCCTTTTTCCTTTTAAAAATGTATTGAAGATTAAGTAAACATGGTGTCACGACCCGGAATTCACACCCTCGGGACAGTGATGGCACCTAATATTTTACTTGTTCAAATCAAATGAAAACAATAAAGCTGAATAGTCTGAAATAAGGGGATATAACTAGTAAACGATATAATCCAAATACAATTCCCAGGTTTGGTGTCACGAATACAAGAGCGTCTAGAGCACTACAAATACTGGTATGAATAAAAACATAACTATCTGAATAAAAGTAAACAGCTAAGATGATAGAGAAGGGGACTTCAGAGCTGCAAACGTCATGCATATATACCTCAAGGCTCTGTCTGTAGTCAAATCCAGGCGACCTCACTGACTACAATCGGGACCAACTCCGGTATTTGCCACAAGAAGTGCATAGTGTAGTATGAGTACAACTGACCCTATGTATCTATAAGTGCCGAGCCTAACCTTGACGAAATAGTGATGAAGCTAAAGCGGTCTACTAACAATAACCTGTATGCAATAATAACAACAGGAAAAGAAAACATGAAGTGAAAGTAAAATAGTTATTTATTGAAAGCAAACTCAAACTTCACTATCAGAAAGCGCAAAATAAAAAACCTCGTAATCTCTGTAAAAATGCTGAAACTAACACAACAATACTAAACAATTACAACACACAGAGATTGTTGCAGCGCGCAATCCGATCACACCGTAACATCCTTTATCGATATCAAGTACCACGTATACTACCCGTTGCAGCGCGCAAACCCGATCCCACTATATCATCATTTATCAATTTTATAATTCTTCCTTATTCTACCATAGCATCATTTATCAATATCAATTTTCATTACGGTATGCAATCCGATCCACAAACGATTTCAATAAATATAAACAATTCAATAAATCAATTTACAAGAATTTCTACATCAAAAGGACAAAAGCACAAGGCTATAAAGGACCAAATAATAATCAAACAATCTTTAAGAATTTGAAATTTCAACTTTACAAGTCTAATGGTGTCTAACAAACTCAACAACTCATGCAATGAACAACATCATAGAATGCAACAAGTATTACAAGGATAATATGACAAGTAAAGCATGTGAGAATCAAGGTACGCAAGTAAAACAATTAAAGGCAAGTAGCAAAAAGTATGGAGTCGTGGGAGAGAACAACAACAACAACAACAACTACCCAGTATACTCCCACCAGGTGGGGTCTGGGGAGGGTAATATGTAGACGGCCTTACCCCTGCCCGAAAGGGCAGAGAGGCTGCTTCCAATCGACCCCCGGCGAGTAGAGTAAAAGTGGGACCGCTGCATTAAGAAACAGAGATAAAATTAGCAACACACGCCATACAAAATCAAATAATAAAGCATAGGTACTCCCACAAAAGTAACGTAAATAGTTATGAAAACATAAGCAACACAAATACACAAATACAGTCGCATGCAGTACTATCAAGCAGTAACTACCATACTAAAACACTAATCACCTATGAGCCCCCCTAACCTACAATCTTGATTCTAGACCTCCAGACTCCCCTATCCAGAGTCATGTCCTCGGTAACCTGCATTATGGCCATGTCCTGCCTAATCACCTCTCCCCAATGCTTCTTAAGCCTCCCTCTCCCTCGCCGACCACCAACAATCTCCAACCGCTCGCAGCTCCTCACCGGGGCATCAGAGTCCCTCCTCCGAACATGCCCGAACCACCTCAGCCTCGCTTCCCGCATCTTTTCGTCCACCGGGGCCACCCCTACCTTCTGTCGAATAACTTCATTCTTGATCTTATCCAGCCTGGTGTGCCCACACATCCACCTAAGCATTCTCATCTCCGCAACCTTCATTCTCTGAACATGCGAGATCTTCACGGGCCAGCACTCCGCCCCATACAACATCGCGGGTCTAACCAGACGAACAATTTAATACAAGAATAACTAAATAACAAACAAAATTTACAGATGTGACACATGGACAAAGAGGTGGCTCTTTGACACCGGAAGCGATTGATGTTGAGGCACTTGATGATGATGTGATTAATCATCCCCTAGGGCGTTTGCAGAAGTATGTACTCTCCCTTACTATTAATTGTTTTTCCTTCGTTAAGTTTGTTTAGTGGTGAATTATGGTTGTGATTAGGGCTGATGTTTCACATCAAATCTAATTATGTGAGAGATCTTCTCATTTTTATTAGGCGAAGAACAACTCCATAAGGAATCGAGGACGGGTTATTGTGGTTGATGTGGATTCTGGTAATTTATTCTTCTCTTAAGCCTGTTACAGCTGTAGGTAGTGCGTTGATTTTTAGCTGTGGAACCTTTTTATTTGCCGGAGATTGGAATTATCTGACCAGAATAGCTTAGAGGAACCTCTCTTTTTCTTATTTTAATGGTTTTGTGGATATGAGATTGTATATATGGTATTCTCTTTATGGGTGGAGCAAGTGGATCTTATCTTCTTTTTTTCTTTCAAATTCAGATATTCTGGACTCTGAGAAAATCTCCTATTTCTTTGAGGATACCAGTTCAATGTACCAGTTTTTGTTCATTCTAGGAGTGTCTGTTCTGAGTGATTGGAGAAGTTATTTAATGCTTCTTTCTGTCCAAGGTTATCGCAAAGCAGGATAATGGTACAGGAAAAATCAGAATTATAACGAATTTTGAAGTGACATAACTTTGCCAGTATCAACAGCATTTTCTTTAGAATGTTTTCTAATCCTTATTTGGTTAGGAAAAGGAGGAGCATGTAGATAACAGGGTCTAGGGATTAAAACTTAGCTGCATCCTATATTTACACCAAACCAAGCAATTTAACCTTGGCAGTTAAAAGTTATAGTGAGTAATACATATCACTTAACCATGGTTATATAACAACTGTGTTTATGAGAGGTCTACATAGAAAACTTAAGCTGTGGCTTGGTTTTCTAATTTGCTTTGTACCTGATGTATGTTTGGGCAGTTCTTTTCAATTGAAAACTTGGCTGGCTTATCTCTTCCATGCCCCTTTAATTGGCCTTGGTTCACGGTTTTGCAGAGGGGCTTTCATCTAGGGCCTCAAGTAACAGTCGCAACAGGCGTAGAAGAGTCTCTACAGATCAAGCAACAAACAATGGTGGCATTCACATAGACCTAGAAGGACATAGCTGTCAAAAGGTAATTACATGCCATGTACTACAGCTCAAATTCTTGTTTCTAATGTTATCTGTTATTTCCTTTTCAAAAGGTATATTTCAATGGATCCACCACCTCGTGTTTTGAAACATTATTCTGATTACTTTCGTTATACAGTGGAAGTTGGGCTGTGACGTTCTGTCTCATACTCTTTGACCTGTATGACGTGCAATTGCTTTGACAGATAAAAGTTCCAATTGTAGGTAGAGGACTTGTTGCTTTTGTGACTCCAGCCTTACTACTCTAAGCGTTCTTATGCAGTATATATAAGAATTTTTATAAGTCATAGTATCTTTGATTTCTTTGCTGGCCTTTTGACTAGTTTCTGTCTTTTTGCTGATATTTCAAGTGTAAAATACTTGGCTTGCTTAACTTGTGTTATAATGCAGAAGTCTAAATAGCTTATAGTTTTTACGAAGTGGGTTCAAGCTTGGATTTCTGTCTTTTTCATCTAATTATCAAAGTCACTTTCAGAGAATTCAGTTTTATCAGTACACATGTGACCTGGTTCAGACTGTTACTTAATCTTTGTGCAACGTAAATTCTCATTTTCTGGTTTTGTTGCCATGCCAGAGTGTCAATGTAAAAAGTTCAATACCACCACAACCAAAAGAGCCCGCATTCAGCTGTCCAGTGTGCATGGGTTCATTAGTTGAGGAGATGTCGACTAAATGTGGTCACATTTTCTGCAAGGCGTGCATAAAAGCATCCATAGCTGCTCAGCATAAACGTCCTACATGTAGGAGAAAAATCACTATGAGAGACACCATAAAAGTGTATCTTCCAACCACAAGTTAAGTCAAAGGTTTGTCTACTGCTCCCTCAAAACTCTTTTCTTTTTCTTTTTCTTTTTGTTTTTTTAGGGGTGGGGGTGGGTGGGGAAGGAGGGCTTCGCTCTATGACCTTTCTATGCGTTCCAAACATTTTGGCCTATTTCATAATATTTGCCTAAGCTGGGCGTTAATATCTGAAATTTGGAAAAGAAGTATCTCAGAATTAATTCGGATCGCCATTAGATAAAAAGTAAAAATAATTGAAGGGTATGGAATTGGTCTGGAGCATGTAGTATCTGTGTGCAAAACCCGTGGGATCTTCTACATTGCGTGCGCAGAAGAAACATTTTGAAGTGGCTATATGTGTGAATAAATGGAGTACGATTGTTTTTGTGTGCTTGTGTTGTAATCTTCTCCTTACACACGGATAGTGATTTGGTTCACGTGCGAGTTATGAGAGAATTATAATGTAGGGATGGTTTATGCAGTGAACAATAATAAAGGGGTTGTTAGACGGTGAAAGATAATGGAGGATTGTTATGCAGACATCTTGGTCTTTAAGTACTTTTAATCCCTATATTACTAGTACACGTATTCTTACTCCATATTTTATCTTGCATAACATATTATATAGATTTCTGCAGTACTATTAGTTATCCGGAAATAATTTTATTTATACGGTCAACCACAGACTGCATTAGTTATGCATGAACTTATTTTTTCTAATTCCCCCAACCAAACATTGTATTATTTTTATGCTGGGACTGTTTTCCTTGATCCCTCCAGCCAAACCACCTCTTTAAGTTTTGCAACCTTTGCCGATAAGAGCATTTCAGGTCTATTATTAGGGGTGTACAAAGGAAATCGATAAACCGCACCAACCCGATAATCCGAGTCAAACCGAGAAAAAAAACCCGACTATGGTTTGGTTTGACTTGGTTTAGTGTTGGAAAAAAAACCCGACCATAATTGGTTTGGTTTGGTTTTAACTAAAGAAAGTCAAACCGAAACCAAACCAACCCGATATTACATATATAGAAATTTTAGATATATTTAATATATAAATATACTTATTGTAATGTAATTTATAAATATTTCTTAAAAATTTTCATAATTTTATCTTTTAGGTATTATTTCAAGGTTGAATTTAGAACTTTTGAATGCTCCAATAAGTTTTATAGCCATTTATATTAGTAAATTAAATAATGCTAGCAATCAATACTAATGCTAACAAAATACATTCAATTCAATATTACGAACGGGAATGTATTGAATGTCTATATTTTGTTTTGCAATAATTTAGATAAAAATACATAACCTATTTTTATTTTGCTTTAGCTTTTAAGCATATAATTAATATTCCCTTATTAGTCTATATAGTTTAGCTTGAATTAGTGCTTTTAGATTATGTTTATTTTTATTATGGCTTTTTAATTAGCAGTATTTATATTACATAATTTTATTGTCTTTATTGTTGAATATTTTAGGATAATGTCATGAGTCATGACATATCTCATATTTTGTATTATTTTCTTGGAAAATACTTTATATAGTTGTATCTTACTAGGATTAAAGAAATATTTTGAGCATACGTTATATTTTTTGTTCTACGAAGATTTTACCGAAAAAAAATCCGAAAAAACCCGAATAACCCGAAAACCCGAAAAAACCCGAGAAAAACCGATGTTGAAAAACCCGAGTTTTATTGGTTTGGTTTGGTCTTTTGATTTAATAACCCGATACAATTGGTTTGGTTTGGTAATTGTAAAATCCGAACCAACCCGGTCTATGTACACCCCTAGCTATTATAATATGGCTAACCGCCTTCTTTGACAGGATTTGGCCATCGTTTATATGACCTGTGGAGGAAGTGTATTTGGAGAGTGGAAGGGAAGTAGGATTGAAGATACTTTTATTCAGTTAGAGTTAAGTTTGATTGTGACAATCAACGACATACTCTTTCCTGTCTGTGCCTTTAAAAGATGGTGTAATTAGTTATTTAATTTAACTCATATGCACTGACATTGTAAAAATCTTTTTACTCTATCAGTGTTATTTACCCCGAAAGAGAAAGTGTCTGAATTTCTGTTTGTGGCATATTCTACTACTTCTAATTACTGTCAATGGACCAACTAAAACCAACTCTTCCTGAAACTCTAGTACATTTTTCTTTTATAGGGCAAAAAAGACAAACTAACACTACTATAACATTGTGCTAATTTGCCTTTTTGTTTGATTTTGAAGTTCTTTCCTTCATTCTACTAATGTAAACACCTGGGCAGCCTTCACTAGGCTGATCTAGGACCAATTTTGTGGGTTCAAATAGACGAGTTCCTTTTGACTCGAACTACATATATATATATATCCTGGATCATAAATTTGACTATCTTTGTCTTGAGTTGGAATCTTGGCAACCAAATTCATCATAACCACAAAAGGTTGGGTACTAACAAATGAGACATTGGCAGCTGCTGCTTCCTTGATTCATACTCAAATGTGCTTTTGGTAATACATGTTTCTTTATATTTATCTATAACTTCAAGCTTGACCTGATAAAAAGTGAATCCAAGCAGTGGTTGACTTCCTCTTTATATGATCCATATTATATTTTGAACACCCTTAAAACAAGGTGAGGTGTTCATGTGTTTAAAACTTCAAATCCATGTGCTAATATTTTTATCTAATTTTAAATCTGATTTTTTTTCTAATAAATAAATAGACTTTGAAATTTGTGCAAAAAAAAATAACGATCTGAAAAGTATTTTTAAATTTTAAGTTTCTTATTAAACAAATCTTACAGCAAAACAAACCCTCTTAACTCTCTCTTTCCTTTGGTTTTTATGTTTGCTACAATTTCTTTTGTTATCATTTTCTATGTTAGTTTCCAATTTGTAAAATTATAATTTTATTATAAGTACTATTTGGTTTATTAGTTAAATATCTATGTAGTTTGATTTAAAAAATTTGTTACGCTCTCTCATCGAAAGAAAATTAATAACTTACTTTAAAAATTTAATACCCTTAGCTAGATTCTTGACCACGCAGCTGAATCCAAGATCAACAAGTGTACTTTCTACCAATTGAGCTATTTTCACTCTTTTCTCATCATCAATAACATTAATTTCTTTTTTTGTGATATGAGAAAAGTGGATTTGAGCGTGGAATTCACCACATGCTTGTATTATGGTAGGTTGCCTATATTATATCTTACTAGGGTACGCTCCTTCCATAAATTCTGCATGAATGCGAGATTCTTTGTGTACCGGGCTGCTCTTTTATACGTGAAAAGTGGAGTGTGTGGTGCAAAGGTTACTTTGAGGACTGATCCAACACCACCATCACTTTCAATTGCATCAACTTTGTGAACTAAGTTTGGAAGCTCTTTGACAATAATATTTGCTAGTTGAAGTGTGCCATAGATTTTCCAAGCATATTGTTTGATGAGTGGAAAAAAATTAAGACTTTTGGATAGCAGTTTTGATTAGTGAACGATACACACACATACCCAGAAGATAATACTTGGAGCATAAAGGCCTGTCGAATGAGAGATGCGATTTTGACATATTCCTTACATACTAAAATATAAAAGGCTTAGTACTTAAAAACCTCAGTAAACTTAGGTCAGTTTGCAACCAGTGTCAAAATAAAAAATTTTACTAAGACTATTTAATATTTTGCGATATCTGTTTGATATACATGTATAAAACTAAATATTATAATTTTTCGACAAAACATGTTCAACCGATTATCCTTGTGTCTGCGTAGCTCTGCCATTGCTGGCAACTTGCACACCTAAACTATACGGGGTTTTTATTGGGGCATTTGTATTTATACCCGCTTTTTGTGTCACGTTTTAACTTGTGCTTGTTTTACAAAAAAAATTATAAACGTACCCGTTTTTCTGCATAACTTCAGCATACGGGGCTGAAGTAGCAAAGGCAATTACGCGAAACTTCAGCATTCTAGTAGACGGGCCTGAAGTAGCAAGTGTGCTGAAGTTTTTATTTGTAATTGCCGAACTCAAGCATAGTAGCTGAAGTTTTGTTCTCTATTTGCTAATTGCTGAAGTTTTAGTTTTTGTAACTGGCGAACTTTAGCTCTAGAACTGAAGTTTTTGTTTTATAAATGGTGAACTTTAGCTCTAGAGCTGAAGTTTTTGTTTTGTAATGTAACTGCCGAACTTCAGCTCTAGAGCTAAAGTTATTTAGTTCATTTGTGAAAACTTCAGCACTATGAAAGCTAAAGTTTTTGAAAAAGCTTTCTAATATACTAGATAAATAATCAGATTGCCAACAGTATCTAAATCACTAATTTTGGAAACACTAAACGTGAAAATAACATAATTATCATTGTCTACTAACTTACGTACGTGGAAATATTCATAAATTATTGTCTACTAACTTATGTAATAATTTATAATTTATTTTTAAATAATCTGGTAAACATATTTATGGCAATTATTCCATGAACTGAAGTTCCATAGCAGCACCAACAGCAGAAGAAGAAAAGAAGAAGAAGAAAACAAAGTTGGAGAAGGAGGAGGAGAAAGGGGGCTGAAATAATTTAAAAAGTGGGTACAAGTTAAAAGTTTTTAGAAAAATGAGCATAGATTAAATGGGAGAGGCCAAATAGGACGTCTTTGGGAGAGTGAAATACACACACTCTACCATGTCAGTGTTAAAGGTGCAAATAATTTCGTTTAAAATAAGTTTAGGGGGGTAATATGATTTTCTCAAAGAAAAAGTGTGTAGCTGGGATTTCGGGTATAGGTCAAGGGGGTACTTATGCATTTTCCCTTTGAATACATATATACATCTGAATACGTAAATTATATTAATTAAAAAATATATAAATACATTCATGGAATATAGCGAGACAATGAATACAATAAAATACAATGGAAAAAAAAAGACAATGAAACTACATAGAATACAACAAGATACATTGAAATACAATGAAGAAAAAAAGGTAATAGACTCTTCAAGTTGCTCAGCCCCAAACTCCATCGTCTTTGTTCAAGAACAACCCTAGTGTCGTCTCGTCAAGGGCTGCAATTTTGACTCGAAACTCTCAAAATTTGGCTCAATAATAAAAGAAATTCACAATTTTCAATAGCAGATTGTTCTTTTGTTAGTAATTGCGAATTTGATAGATGAAAAAAGGCAACAATGGAGGTAGTGAGAGGCAAGAGTTGTAGTGGCCATGTCCAGATTTCATGGAGAATAGTGATTGTATTCATGGAGAAAGAATGGTGTTGAGAGAGAGAGAGGGGTAGAGAAAATCTAAAAGAAGTTTTCCGCAAGTTTACCACAGTTAATTCAGGTTTTACCCAGTCCGATGGCCCTCAGAAATTATTTGCACCCAGTGAGTTTCGAACTTGAGTACTTGAAAGGAAGCAAACCCCGAGGCTCAAGTCAATTGCCACCAGGCCAACTCCTGAGGGTTGTAACCATAAAATAAATATTTGGCTATAAAAATCAAAAGGTAGTTATGGAATATAACTTTTTGAAAGGTATTTATTTAAAATAAATAAGGTGTCAACCTTTGCTATAGGAGATAAAAATTCCTTTGAAAATTTACCAAAACGTAAATAAAATCTATAGTCAAATATGTATCCAAAAAAACTCCAAATATATTTTGACAAAATTTTTTACCAAACGGGTCCTTAATTTTCTCGAGTAAAGATTAGTTGCTGAAAACTACATAAATTATTGCAAATTATATTATTTAAAAGTAAATATATTTTAAAATCTCCGTAAAACAAAAAACTTTGGAATCTTCAACTACTAAAAATGCCAATCAAATTTGACAGAGAAATCACATCTCGTTTATAATTATCCTTTTATTAACGGTAGCAGAATTTATAATTTTGTCTGTCGTCGAATGAATATTTTCCAAATATCCTCAGTTACTTTGTAGTCCTCAATTAAATACATAAATTAAAAGAAGTACCGATTACCAACACCACTAGAGCCAAATAAATAAAATGAAAACGCAACCTATTATCTGTTGGCACTTGGTTAAGACTTAAGTTGTTCATTTTCAATTAAATGAGTAATTAAATATAGTACTTAATATTTTTATCAATTTCCATTAATCATGCTATGGCATGTAACTTACAAGTGCAATGAAGATATCCAAATATTTTGCATTACAATTGCGTCTCAATTCCAAACAAATTATAACCATATGAATCAGTATTCATCTCACTTTATGTCAATCTAATGTTGTATAAAATAAATTTAGAAATAAAAATAAAAAGAATTATAAGTTCTTTATATTTTCTACTAACATGTAAATCTCTCACAATATTAAAAGACATCTAGAAACATTGGACCTAAAGCAACATACTAACATAACAAGAACTTAGTACAACTAATTGGTGTCATTAATATCCTTCTGCATTTTACAAAAGAAATTGTTAATTTGTGAAAAAATGGCAGAACGTAATAACTAGAACTCTAGAAGCAAGCAACATTACCACTTGTACTTTGGTTAATTTAAGGTTCAAGTGCAAAATTATTGCCATTTCCCAGCTAATAAAGTACAATATTTATTCAGAATATGCGGTTTTCTTCAGCGCAAATCTACTTGCAATGGAAGCTCACAAAAATGTAGAACACCCATCATATGTTTTGCAATTTCTGTTTCAACGATCTGTCATAGTAACCACTCAAAGAAACTGCACTCAAAACAGAAAAAGATCTTGCCTCAAGGATAAAGAGCCTCGAAATGGACGTATAATGCTTATATGCTTTTGCTTCCCACCTTATGATCCCTTCTTCAGATTGTGGATACTTCTGTATAACTCCTCCTCCCGAGCACGTTTTGCAGCAAGAGCCTCCTCGTCAAGCACTTTGATTGGCGACCACTCGGGAAGTTTTAACCAATCATCTCTCTTATTGACTATAGAGTCGTAGTAGCTTCTCAACACTGGTTTTGCTCTTGCAGTAGCATAATCAACT